ATTTTTAAGTTTCTTTAAAATGACAATAGAGGGCACTGTGGTATTTAATTTTTCTGTGGCTTTTAAAATTAGAAAGTTGTTGGCATTTTTATGTGTAATGCAGTGTCTTTATTCAACTGATCTTTAAAGGCTATGAAACTCTTTGTTCTTTGCTTTTTCACTCTGTTGGGACTTAAAAATTTTGTTGAGTGTTGGTAAATTTGAGGTGCACTATTTTTCCTGGGTTCTACATTTCCTTTATTTCAGTGGGTAAAAAAATCCTGTAAAAATAGTAATGCTTGTAAATGTGTTCACTAATCTTTAAAGTTTGCCTATGTGAAATTTTTTTGGTTAAAATTAGTACTATGAGAAAAATAGCTTTCAGTGAATTATGTAAGACATTTAATTAAACTTTTGAAAGTTTTTTTTGTAGGTCCTAGCATCTCTAGTCATATGTCAAATTTAATTTCATTTGCCTACAGGCTGTCAGAGATAGCATGCCCAGAGTGACAGATTACCCTTGTATTATGTCATTCACTTCGGAAGCCAGTCAATCTTAGTCTGACAGGAAACCTACATATTCATTCCTGTAATCCTTAATCCTTTTATTTCATAAAATTCCCTCAGGGAAATTACTTGAAAATTCCATTTATATTTTAAGAATATAATTAACATTAATTGGGTTGTATAGATTTTAAAGAAGATGAACTCCACTGATGGAAAACAGTATTTATAATACATGTGCAATGCGTTGTTAATGTGGAAGAAGGAAAAAAATCTCAGCTCTTATTTTGGTCATTCCATTATACATTAGCTGAAAAATAATAGTCATAAATGATTACATTTTTGTAAAATTTTCCTGTGATTCAGTAGTTGTTCCCCAGCACTTTCTTGGTGCCTTATTACTAGTTTTATGAAGGTGGAAATTGAAAACCTGTGATGTGCTCAAGGTCAAATAGCAAGATGATGACATTGTCAGCGACATATCTTAATAGTTATTTCCCAAACCTATACTCAATTGACAAGTCCATATTTCTTCAGATACTAATTTTCCTTCTTCAGATCTATATAAATTTTAGAAGTGGTTTAATTTTTGTTTTAAAATTAATGCTTATTATTTATAAATCAGTTTTTATGTGTAGTTATCTGGTATATTTTTTCCTGTCAACTGTGATAGTTGATAGGAAGCAAAGAACTTTTATTTTTTTAATTTTAATTTTTTTAATTAAAGGTTATTGGGGTGACAATGGTTAGTAAAGTTACATAGGTTTCAGGTGTACAATTCTGTAATACATCATCTATATATCACATTGTGTGTTCACCACCCAGAGTCAGTTCTTCCATCACCATATATTTGATCCCCTTTACCCTCTTCTCCCATCTCCCGCCTCCCTTACCCTCTGAAGGAACTTTTAAAAAATTCTTTCTGGCACAGTGAGAATAAATAAGCTCTATGAGGGCAGGAATCTTTGTTTTATTGTCCTAAGTGCCTAATATCTGGCACATAGTTAGGTTTACAGTAAATATTTGAATAAAAATTTGCTGAATTTATTGTACAGCATAGGGAATATGGTCAGTGTTATTGTAACAGTTATATATGGTGTCAGAGGGGTAGTAGACTTGGGGGGGTGTTATCACTTTATGAGGGGTGTGAATGTCTAATCATTATGTTGTTTTGTACACCTGAAATGACATAATAAAAATCTGCTGAATTTATAAGTTATTTAATGCATTATTGATTTTAAATATTTAAGAGTTAAGTTTGGATGTAGGGAGGTTTTTTTGTTCTTTGCAAAAAGATTTTAGTAGGAGGAGAGCATTTACTGTGCACTTATCCACTAGTTGAACATTTGGAAAGCTAGTCACCAGCACAGGGCATACAGACTGTTATGGAGAAGGAAAGTATGAGAATATTGCTGTTAAAAAAACAAGTGCAAATTCTTATTGTAAAGTAACTTGCTAAATATAAAGTTGATCAATTGGAATGCAAAATGTCTTAAAGAACTATAGTTTTATTAGTTTGAGGTAATGGTAATTAGATTTAGGCTAATAAAGGGGACATGCTTTAAAATAAATAGGTAATGATATTTTATAAGCATGTCAAAGCATAAGCCAAAACAATTAATTTTAGCTTAAATCATAGTAGCAGTGTTTACATATAAAGTGCTTAGCTGCTTTTTTAATTAGTAAATATTTTCTTCAGTAAATATTTTTGCCTCTTATGTGCTATTGCTTATTAGAATGATTACAAATTATAACAAAGATTTGAGATTCTGAATTTCTTTTATAATAGAAACTAATTGCTGAAATATTAGAGAGGAAGTGAAGAAGAGATCAGTATTTGATATGTAAGAAAATGAAGGGATAGATAAGGAATTCTGTGGGAGGAGAAAGGCATCTAGCTATTCCTTCAGATAGTCAACAGTATTTATTGATAGCTTACTATGCTGGAGGCTGGGATACAAAAGTGAAAAAAATAGGCCAAGTTCTTGCCCTCATGTAATATATTGTATGCCACAAACTATCCCAATACCAAATTTTAGTAGATTTTGTTGAATAATGTTTCTTTTTTCGAATACGCCCTTAGGACAATTCCCAGAGACTTTAAATGGTTGTTTTTAAAAATAGTTTTTGTCAGTTTTGCTTGTTTCACTGGAGAGTAGGTCTGTGAAGCAACTTTCTCTATCATCCTACAAGTGCAACTTTCCAAACTACTTAATTCTAAATATTCCTAAAGCTCAAAGACGTCTTTCCAGTAAGGAAATTACCATCCCAGGTAACTGAGCACTTCTTTAAATTAAAAAAAAAAAAATTTTTTAACGAACAGAGGTTTTGGTCAGACATGATACCCAAGAGCTACCAATATCCAGAGCAGTTCTTTGCACTATCCTGTCATACTAAGAACTTTTATTATCACTGTAAATATCATGAGCTAAAGATTTTTTTTTCAGTGTTTATTTACCCAGTTTTCTACTATCCACGGAAGTCTGTAGTTTCTGTCCAGCTTGTATACGTCATTGGTTTTTGCACTTCTTTGGCTCTATGCATACGTGGATGTTTCCTGCATAGGGCATATGACTTTTTTTTTCATTCTTTTATATTCTTACAATTATACAATTTATAGATTTTAAAGTTGATATTCAACTAAATTCTGAATTTTTTAAATGGCTTCATCTGATCTTAAATTACATTTTATAAAAGAATTTTGACATCTGATTGTGCATTTCAGTCATACACAGAGTTTCCTATAAAAAAAAAGTCAGAACCTTAAAATTTTAGAATTTGAATGTACCTTATCCTGCTGTTCTGCTGCTAAATGAGGACTCCTTTCTAACTTCAGCCCTTGGTCTGTTTGTCAGTACAGCTAGCTCCATCAATCACTGTCTGCGCCTCTCTGTGTTTACTTGTGTTCACTCCTCTCGTGACCCCTGAATGACTCCCTCCATCCCTGCAAATCTGCTCACTTTCCTGAGAGGGAATCCAGTGTAGGGCAGAGTAATGTCACCGAATCATTTCAGATGGCACTGGAAAGTGAGCATATTGGTTTTTCTTGGGTTAGTCATCCAGTCTAGACTCAGTGCTGGAGAGGGGCATGGGATCATGTTGTCAACACATTTCTACCACTGCCTAGGTTATCGTCTAGATAATTTCTTCAGCAGGAGCATGGATTAGACAGTTTCTTGCAGAATGAGGTGGTAGATATAATCAAACCAATTTACTCTGTGGTTTATTAATATACGCATTTGTTACCTCGGGCTATAACTGCATAATTAAAATTGAAGAATGTCTTGATAGCTGTCACTTTTGTAGTATTAAGTATGCTGTTGGGAATTCCCTTTAGTATAACATTCACTTGTATACTATTGTAATGACATAATATCTTACTGTAGTAGTGATCTGTTTTGACAAATTGTTCCCATGATATGCTGTATCTGGCTATTTGATGAGTTTCATATATATCAAATATAGGATTTAATGGTAAAGTATCTATGTATGTTCCTACAATTCGTTTGGAAGGATACACAAGAATCTGGTCATTGTTTGCCCCTAGGGCAGAGAATGCCCTAGGGTGGAGGACTGAGATAGGAAGTATACCCTTTTATTCCATCTGAATTTTGTAATGAACATGAGTGTTACTGAAACAATAGTAAAGCACTCAAAAGAAAGTAAAAGAGAAACAACAAAGTAAACAATAACAGAAGGGAAACTTAATGGATAAGGCAGATACTCTGTGGATATAATTCTAGCCAAATATAATTTGATGGTCCCTGTTTGGGTTTCTTCTCATAATTGGTAAGCTCTCCATGTTGATTGATGGTTAAGTTTGATTAGAACTCTCTTTTAAGTGGTAATTATATTCTAACATTTTATCATTATATTGTTTTCTCCAACTTATGACAATTTAGAAAAGTTGCCAGGTTTCTCTTTGACATAAGATCTGCTCTTGATTTGGAATTCAAGTTAGTAGAAGTGTTGCATCATGAATAAAAAGATCATGGTGGAGACTTATGATTATTCTTCCACTAAAGATGACTAAGACAAGATTTTTTATTTAATTAAATTTATTGAGGTGACGTTGGTTAGTCAAATTACATAGGTTTCAGGTGTACATTTTTATAATACATCATCTATACATCATGTTGTGTGTTCACTATCCAGAGTCATTTCTCCTCCCATCACCATTTATTTGACCCCCTTTACTGTCATCTACCACCCACCTTCCTCCTTACTCTCTGGTAACCACTAAACTGTTGTCTGTGTCTATGAGTTTTTGTTTGTTAAAACAAGATTTTTTGAGGTACTTTGATCTATACTGATGGTAAAGAATTTACTTGAATCTTTTTCCAAATTCTCATATGTAAAGTTTGAGTGATTAAATTCTTTCTTGGTGTTTTATTTTAAAAGAATGCAGCTTTAGCAAATCTCTTTATATAATGAAGTTGGATTATGTTCAAGTTGTAGGTTATTGTCATATTGTATTTTAAACATTTACAGGTATTCTTTTTGTTTCTGCTCTTTAGCCGGCCTCAGAAAGTGTGTCTGTGTCCATTTCTACCACTTCATCCTCTGCACATTTCTACCCACTTGTATATAATTCAGCATCCAGCAGAGGTGAGTAAGATTTTGTAGAATATACAATTTCAAACAGAATATTAGCATACAAAAGGAAACATAGATGAACATACTCATCCCTCCCAGCTCTTTAGCATTTCTGAAAATAAATTGATGATAAATGCATTCTCTTGGGGAAAAAAAATTGTTTCTTTTATATATTATTTTATATGATAGTATAGTGTCATATGCTTTGGAGCTAGATAAAAATTATTTCATAAAACAGTGTTATTTCATAAAAACTGTGTTGTTGAAAGTATAGAAATTTAGAACTCCAACAATTTTGAATGAAGAAAAAATAAGATTTTTGTGAGTAAAGAGCTAAGAAAATCATTGCTTTTAAAATTTTGTCATAGCTTGTATTCAAGGATATCTTTTCTTGTTAAAATGGAAGAAACTCTTAGCACATTAGTGTTACAAAATGAATGTACAAAATAAACATTTTTTCTTTTTCTTTTTTTAAAAGATTTTATTGGGGAATTGGGGGAGGGGAACAGCATTGGAGAATTGGGGAAGGGGAACAGAAAAGTTGCTGTCCAATTGTTCTTCAGTCTAGTTGTGGAGGACGTCGCTTCACTGGCCCATGTTGGTATTATCATTGCGCTCTTCCAGGTGAGGCAGGCAGTCGCCATTGGACGGCTGCTCATGGCAGCTCACAGAAGCTCACGCCAGCTGCCGGCCAGCCCCACTGCAGTCTATGCCGTCGCCGGTGACTCACAGCAGCCCAGCTCCAGGTTGAGCTGTTGTTCACGATCTTAGCTGTAGAGGGCGCAGCGGCATTGGCCCTCATGTGGGATCCGAACTGGGGCTCTGCTTCTCAGAGCTGGCGTCAAAAGCCAACTGTTAACCAATGTGCCACTCAGCTGGCCCACATTTTGTCTTTTAAATGAATGGAACAGATATGTATATTTTATAGTATGTATGTTGTGTATAAAGAGGTTTTTTAAAATTCTTATTAAATTTATTGGGATGACATTGGTTAATAAAATTATATGTTTTAAGTGTACATTTCTATAATAATCATCTATATATTGCCTTGTGTGCTCACCCCCCAGAATCAGATTTCCTTCCATCACCGTATACATATATGATGATGGAAGAGTTTCTAATTAATACTTTCCTTTTGGGTTCTTGGAAAAGTCATGACGCATTTTTGCAACGAAAAATGTAGAAAAAATACATCATGACTTTTCCGACAATCCAGTGTATTAGTGAGAAATATGCATGTGCTGTTTTGTATATGTGTTTGTAACTCCTGATTAACTGTAGCAATGAAGAGGAGGGTAAAGGAAGTCACAGAGAACCACAAGTTATAGATAAAACAAAACTAATCAATATATGGTAAAAAACGGGTTCAGTATAAACTGAAGTTAAAACCATTCCAGCATTTAGGAACTCAGGACAGTATGTATTGAATCAGGCTTTTGAAGAAGAATTGATTTTTTTTTTTTTTCTGAAGCTCATTCCACTTGAAGACTTTAACAAAGATGTAAAGATATTAATATGTCATTTTCCTTTTCCAAATGAAACACTTATTCTTTTATTGCCAATTGTTAATTATTCCATTTGTTGGGCATTTTTTTTTTTTAATTTTGTTGGGGAATTGGGGGAGGGGAACAGACAAGTTGCTGCCTTTTTGTTCTTCAGTCTAGTTGTGGAGGATGTCGCTTCAGTGGTCCTTGTTTGTATTATCATTGCGTTCTTCCCGGGCAAGGCAGTCACTTGCTGGCCATTGGATCGCCGCTCACGGCAGCTCACGAAAGCACACACCTGCTGCTAGCCAGCCCCACTGCAGCCTATGCCGTCGCCGACTCACAGCAGCCCAGCTCCAGGTTGAGCTGTTGTTCACCATCTTAGCTGTAGAGGGCAGTGTCACTGGCCCTCATATGTGGGATCCGAACCAGGGCCCTGCTGCTCAGAGCTGGCATCCCAAGCCAACTCCTAAACAACACACCACTTGGCCGGCCTGCAAACTTTTTTTTTTAAATTTCTTTTTTTGTTTAAGTTAAATTTATTGGGGTGACTGTAGTTAGTAAAATTACATGAGTTTCAAGTATAGATTTCTATAACACATCATCTGTATATCACAGTGTGTGTTCACCACCCAGAGTCAGTTCTTCCATCACCATATATTAGATCCTCTTTACCCTCTTCTACCATCTCTCCCCTCTTACCATCTGGTAACCACTAAACTGTTGTCTGTGTCTATGAGTTTTTGTTTCTTTGTCTTTCTTATTGCTTTCCTGCTTTGAGTTCTATATCCCACATATAAATGAAGTCATATGGTTCTTAACTTTTTCTGTCTGACTTATTTTGCTTAGCATAATAATCACAAGATCCATCCATGTTGTTGCAAATAGCACTATTTCATCTTTTCTTATGACAGTATAGTATTCGATGGTGTATATATACCACATTTTTTTATCCAATCATCTATCGAAGGACACTTTGTTTCCATGTCTTGGCCACTGTAAATAAAGCTGCAGTGAACATCGGAGCACATATATCTTAATGGATAAAGGTTTTCAGATATTTTGAGTATATACCCAGGAGAGGGATTGCTGGGTCATATGGTAATTCTATTCTTAACTTCTTGAGGAACTCCTACACTGCCTTCCATAGTGGCTGTGCCAATCTGCATTCCCACCAACAGTGTATGAGGGTTCCTTTTTCTCCACAGCCTCTCCAACACTTGTTATTATTTGTCTTGTTGATGACAGCCATTCTAACAGGTGTGAGGTGATATCTCATTGTGGTTTTGATTTGCATTTCCCCAGTAGTTAGTGAAATTGAGCATTTTTTCATGTATCTGTTGGCCATTTGTATGTCTTTTTGAGAGAAGTTTCTGTTCATGTCCTCTACCCATTTATTGAGTTGTTTGTCTTTTTGTTGTTGAGTTGTATAAGTTCTTTAAATATTTCAGATATTAGCCCCTTATCAGAGGTGTTGTTTGCAAATATCTTCTCCCATTCGGTTGGTTGCCTTTTTGTTTTGTTGATGCTTTCTTTTGCTGTGCAGAAGATTTTTAGTTTGACATAGTCCCATTCATTTATTTTTGCTTTTACTTCCCTTGCAAAGGCAACCTTTTTTTTGGTGTTAACAACAAAATGCTGTGGTCAGGATTGTGACAGTTTGATCACTAGCATTATTTTATTGCATTTAAACTTACAGCACCTTGCCGCTCAAATTTACATAAAATGATAATTTACTGGCCTTAACAATTTTGGCTAAAACTTAACTTTAGATGATGAATGCTGTTTTCATTTGCAGCATCATAGTATGGTGGCCTTTTATTATTGTGTGGTTCCAGACTTAAGTTGGCTCTTAAAATGTAGTTATTTGTATTGATTTGTGGAAATTTTGTTTTCAAATCCTCCTTTCCTTTCTACTCTCCTTCCTTCCTTACTTACTTCATTCCCTCTCTCTGTCCCTTCTTCCTTCCATCTATCCATCCATTCATCCATGGTTAATTCATAATTTAGGTGATCAGTCTATAATTATGTGTGTTACAATTGTATATTATGTATATATGAGTACAAGTATATCTATATTGTTTTTCCTTATCACCCAAGGAGCGTTCCAATCTTAATCTAGCTCAATAATATTTGGCTGCCTAATGCTTAATTTCAGCACACTATTTTCAATAAAAGAATATGCCAATTTGATGACTTTCCCTAAAAAGGGATTGGAAACCATTTGGATAGGCTCTAGGAGGTGGCTTTGGGAATAGACGACTTGATGGAGTGGATGATATGGAAGTGATATGATGGTACATGTCAAAGAGTAGGTATATGAATGTAGAAAATTACTTAAGGATAAAAACAAAACAGTTATCTCAAAAATAGCAAAAAGCTTTACAAGACAGGTTGTGTTAAACTGCTTGGCCTTTTTGAACAATGTATATCTAGCCATAATGAGGTAAACTCTGTCTATTGATTTAACTAAAACTATTAGAAGATGTGAAGGTAAGGAGTGATGTAGAAAAGCAAAATCCTCATTGATTATGAGAGGCTGAAGTTATAAAGTGCAGTAGTTAAGAGTAAGGGCTCAGGAGCCAGATTGCTTGAGTTTAAATCATGAACAGCCCTGTAAACTCCATAACTCTGGGCAGGTTAATTAATGTCTCTGTGCTTCAGTTTCATCATTAGTAAAATGGACATAGTAAAAGATATACTTCTTTACCAATTTATTATGAACAGTAAATTTATCTAGAATATATTTGAATTATGTACATTAAAGTTAGCTATTATGATAATAAATTGTAGTTTGTAGATATATGAAGTTGATAAATCAAGTGATAGCATTACACACATATTATTTAAAAATCCAGAGATAACTACCAAAAGATATAGCTAAAAAAGAGTTCAAGGGATTGCCTCTGGGAAGTGGTACAGGGGAGTGTATCTGGAAACATGATACATTTTTTGGCACTCTTAACTTGACATATATACATGTGTTACTTTGATAAAAGTTTAGAAAGTGATTTAAGTATGTATCAGTGCCTTCTAATGATGATCAAGAAGGAAGAAAACAGTATGAAACATTATAAATTATCCTAAAACTCCCCTCACCTATCTCCTCCTAGTCCCGTTGATGAAGGTGTATATTAGCTGCTCCAAATTGCTACTTTTCAGGCTCCCTCAGAGCTCTCTGCTGCATGCCCTTTTTAGCAAAAATCCTAGAAAATGTTTACTCTCCTATTTCCTTTTCACTTTTTATTAGTTGACCAATTTAACTACTCTCAGCATTTTTTTTTAAAGATTTTATTTGGGGAATTGGGGGAGGGGAACAGCGCTGGGGAATAGGGGGAAGGGGAACAGACAAGTTGCTGTCCTTTTGTTCTTCAGTCTAGTTGTGGAGGACGTTGCTTCACTGGCCCATGTTGGTATTATCATTGCACTCTTCCCAGGCGAGGCAGATCGGTCGCCGGCCTCTAGACGGCTGCTCACAGAGGCTCTTGGTAGCTCACACCAGCTGCTGGCCGCTCAAGCTGGCTGCTGGCTACACACGGTAGCCCATGGCAACCCACTGCCACAGGGGCTGCAGCCTGCCCCATCGCCGGCGACTCACACTCACAGCAGCCCAGCTCCAGGTTGAGCTGTTTTTCACCATCTTAGCTGTAGAGGGCAGCGTCACTGGCCCTCATGTGGGATCTGAACCGGGGCTCTGCTGCTCAGAGCTGGCATCCCAAGCCAGCTCTTAACCAATGCACCACTCGGCCAGCCCTCTCTCAGTATTTTTTTAAATTTAGTTTTTACATATTGTTTTAATCAACACTTCAGGGACCCAGCAGCAAAAGAGGTAAACACAAAAATGTCTCTAAATGGTGTGTGTGTGAGAGATTGTTGAATACTGTTACTACAATACTTTTTCTTTGTTATAAACAAATGTAATTATAAATTTATTTTTAATTTAATAAATTAATATGTAACATTATTGTTTTATGTATTAATTTGCTAAGTGGTTGATATTCCTAAAGGAAAGTAAGTAATATTGCTATTCTATAGAGACATTGTCATTTTTTGCAGATGAAAAAATAGTCAAATTATCACTGTGAGGATATACATAAAGAGGATTTTATAGATATTATAAAGATAACATTGTACTGTATGTAGGTAAACTGATTAGAGAGGGGCTCTGTCACTTATTTGATCAAGCATGACTTTCCTAGTTGGACCAGCAGAGAAGAGCCAGAGTGTCTGAGCAATATAGACCAAAATAACCAAGAAAGGTGGGAGGCCAAGACAGAATAGCTAATCACCTGGCTCTACTGGGATTCAGGGTAGAATTCTTGTGACAGCAAGAAAGGTAGTTTTAGTGTTGGAAGCTAGGAAGTTGAAAAAAATCACTTGTGATAGTTAATGGAACTTACAGAAATGGTTACCAGATTTCTGCACTCTAAAGTTTTTATTTTTTTTCCATGTCAGTACTCTTTATTCTTTGGAAGTAAGGTCAGCCTACATTCAAGTAGGAGGGAGAGATTAATAAGCTTCACTTCCTGGAGTGGGGAGTGTTTATGTTTATTACTTGGAATTCTTCTATAAGAGTGATTTGTCTCTTCTCTCCCATTTATTTATTTATTCAATCATTTCTTATATCAGTCTGAACGCTGTATTTATTTTATACTTTGGATTATAATCCAAATACTATGTTACATATTTTGTTGCTCAAATTGTTCCAGTTTGGCTGTTGAGAGCTCTTTAAAATTGGTTTCTGTGTCTCTTTGATATGCTTCATTGTTTTGTTTTGTTTTGTTTTTTTTGAACACGTTTCTTGCTTTCTAGATATACAGATCTAGGCAATTGTCTTCAAGTTGAAATACTACAAAATGTAATTACTATTGAAATAAAAAATTTGTCAGAATAAATTATTCAATTTAATTAAACACAAATTTACATTTTTATAATATTATTTAATGCTATCTTATTTTATCAATAAATCTCTAAACATACCTAAATAGAATAAAAATGTACATTTGTGTTATATTTACAATATTGTAAATCAGAGAAACTATAGATCTTTTTATTAAACTGCGTTCTGTAGTAAAAGTTTGTAAAACTTCTGTACAGTTTTATGAATCAAATGTTCATGATAAACTTTTTAAAATTGTGTCTAATTAAAAATCTATGTTTTAATTATTTTTTTAATGAAAGGAAAGCAAAGTGTTGCGGACAGTTCCTCTACTAGCAGCATGCCTACCCCAAGACAAGTGTAAAGTCAAGATTGGTCGTCGCTTCAGTGAAGACAGGTAAATTAACCTTTAGGGCAATTTAAAATAATCGTTTTCTGCATAGATCTTTAAAAATAGTTTTCTTCAGTTTATTCATTAGACCTACAACGTTGTATATTGGAAGTGGTCAACAAGTTTAAGTTCTGTCTTCTCCCTCAAAATAATACAAGACAAAGCAAAACAAATAAAAACACTGACCCCAAACAGACCAAAATGGAATAAACAAAGGAATGATAACATTATCTGAATTCCATACTAATATTTGTATATTGGGCCTAAAAGATATACATATACATACATATATATGTATATATATATATGTATATATATACATATATACATATATATGTATATATTTGCTGTTTATTTCATATTTGTTCAAGATGGTAGGGTATTTGTATTAGATTTTGTTCAGTTTTTTTTCTTTTTTAATAATTATGTATGATATACATTTATGTAAATAAACACATATCTATCCATTTTTAGCCCATGAAAGCTTTCCTAAGGTACATTGATTACAACTAGATTTAGTATTCTAGTTATGAGCACATCATATTTTTTTTAAAGGATAAAACATCTTCTCCTGTTATATTTAAAATAATTTGTTTGATGTGGTATTTTTAGGGCAGCAGCCCATTAGTTGATGTCTTCATTGATGGCTCTCTGATGTTCTTGGATCTTATTTCACTGTGTTAAAGACTATGTTATCAGAACTGTATATTATATACTGTATATATATATATATATACATATATATATTTAAATTTCTCAACAAGTCTTTTCTTACCTTTGAAGCATACTTGTTGCTTTTCTGCCCATTCACAAAGCCTTCACAAATTACTTTGATCCTGTCTACACAGCTCAATATATTTTTAGATCCAAAATTTATTTGCCCTTGAAAATATGGAAATTTCTTTTTCAGTTCATTTATGAAAATTCTAAGACCAGTACTAACACCAAGCCCAGGGAATTAACCAAACTTTTTCCTTCCTTTTTTTTTTTTTTTAGCTTTCTTTATTACTTAGCTTCATATTATGAAAATAACATCATGTTAGTACTTTATATAATCACGTTCTCTCTTCTCTGAAACTGTTGGTTAGGCACGCTTTTCTCATGTAGAATTTTCTGTTGCAGATTTTGCACTTTTACCCTCAAAGGAGAGATTCGCTCTGTGTTTAGTGCTGCTGTTGGGAATTGTGCGCTTTTGTTGGGAATGGAAGCGAGACCCAGAGCTCTTCACATGGGGAGCAGCCACATTATTAACAGTGTGACCCTGCTTTCACACAGAAGCTCTTTATGATAGTTTCTCTCTCGTTCTTTGGTGGATGTGCATATATCGTTCCACCTAATCTACCAACTTGGATCTAAGTTATTTTATCGCCAAAGTGATGTGCATTTATGGCGGTAGAAGTGGAAACTATCTGGATCATCCCAGACGTTTGGCTCTCTAACCATTCCATGAACGTGCTTAGGATAAGAAGCTTGATCTTTTCCATATAGTCCACCCACATTGAGTCCATTATATTAAGTAGTTTAGTTTTTTCCATGGTGCCTAATATAGTGCTTACTCAGTAAATTATTATTCACTGATGGATTTTAAAGTAAAGTCGATTAACATTATTGGATTAATATTAATCTGGTAATTGAAGATTAATGTATGCTGTTGTTAGAGTATGTGAATAACCATGGGGCATTTACTTTTGGTATCCTTTATAAATGGAATTTAAAAATACTTATTTTCTAATTTTTTTGCCTCTAGTATATAAGGAAACAATTGGGTTTTGCATATCAACCCTCTATCCAGTGACTTTCTAAACTCATAATGTATTATAGTTGTATAAATTGTTTTGTAGATTCCTTAGGACTTTCTGTGTAAGTAGTATTATCAAATGCAAATAGGGTCATTTACACTTCTTTCTTTGTGATTTTTATGTCTTTTATTTCTTTTTCTTGTCTTATTGCAATATTTGGGACTTTCAGAACAATGTGTGTTAGGAGTGGTGAAAGCCAACATCTTTACCTTGATCCGCATCTCAAGGAACATTGTTAAATATGATATTGACTGTACATTGTCGTAGATGCCATTTATTGGTTTGAAGAAGATGCCATTTATTGTCTTTAATTGACTCTTTAACTTGTCTCCTTTCCCCTCAAGGTTGTTTTGTTTCCAGCAGACAGAGGCTATCTCGTTTATTATTACATCTCCAGTGCCACAATGCTTTGATATGTATTTTTGAATAAAGTTCAGTTAGAATAGTAAACTTTTTGTTCCCAAGAAGCTAATAAAGATTTTCTTTTTAAAACTTTTAGAGATCCTGAACTTTCAGCTATTTGTCAGAAGTCTGGTACATTAATATTATATCCAGGGGATGAAGCTGCTAATTTGGAAGAATTTATATTAGATTCTCCTGTTTATCCTTCTACAATCATCATCATCGATGGTACATGGAGCCAGGCTAAGGACATTTTCTATAAGAATTCCTTGTTCCGACTGCCCAAACAGGTAAACTCACATTTTAACAGAGACTAAATACAAGTGTAGAATTTATTGTATGTATTGTCTGTGAGGGGGTAGACATACATTTTTATATATGACTTTGATGGTATTTACATATGTGAATGTATACATAGATATGCATATGCTTGTGTGTGTATTTGAGATAAATATGTAGAAAATTTCACAACTGTCCTTCTCAATTCCCACTTTCAAACTTCACCATAGTTTACTATATTAAGAGCCTCTCAGGCATTTAATCAGAGAAGTCTAAGGATTAATTACTTCTAGGTGTACTAATGTTTTTGTTAGGAACTGTTATGTTTAATACTTTTATTTGGTAACTAAATTACCTTGTTTTTATAAGGAGTGACAGAATTTCTATGAAATACTTGTTTGTCATTCATTATTATAATCATATGGCTTGTCCTTCAATTTGTTGATGTAATTAGTGGTGACGATGATGCATTTCCTAATACTGAACCATTCCTGTGTTCCTGGAGTGAACTCTACCTGGTCATATTATATTATCCTTTTGATATATTGCTGAAGCTTATATTTCATTTAATGGCATTGAATTATAATTCATAAGTTTTTGTACTTTTATTATCAGAATTGGATATTAAGATAACGTTAACTTCATTAAATAAATAGGAAATATTTTAATATTTTGCTATGCCCCGGAATAATTTCAACAATATTAGAATTCCTTTTTCCTTAAACATTTGATGGAATTCACTGGCCAAACCACCTGGTCCTGGTCTCTTTAAAAATGGTGACTTTTAAAAATTTCTTTCAAACCCTTTTTATGGAAATTATTCAAGCTTTCTAATTCTATTTGGTTCAGTTTTTAATACCTTTTATCTTTTCTAGGGAATTATTTCTTTCCCCTGAATTAAATTGGCTGCCATATACCTGTATATTTTCATACATACTTATTTAAATTTCTTCAGAATGCATCCTTTCTCTTTTCTAATATCTCTCTCTCTCTCTCAGTCTCTCACTCTCTCATTCTCTCTCTCTCTCTCTCTCTCTCTCTCTCTCTCTCTCTCACACTCACACACACACACACACACACACACACACACCCCACACACACACCCATTTTTTCATTGAACAGACTCAAAAGAGATTTCACTATTGCTCTTTTAAAAAGTTAGCTTTTAGGTTGTTTTAATGACTATTACATTTTATTCTTATTTCATTAATTTGAGCTTGTATCTTCATCAATTTCTTTCACCTTTCTGCTTATTTTTTTTTATTTTGTAAGATTTGCACTAAGAGTACTACATTCCTTTAAGACCTGTGAGTTTCTTCTTTCATAATAAAGGAAGAGAAAGAAAAAAAGAAAAAAAAACCCAGAAAAAAAAATAGTAAAGGAAGAGAAGGCTGCAATATTTCTTTTTAGTATAACTTTCATAGTATTCTATAATTTAGGGTTCACGTGTTCTTATAGCTATATATTGTTATAATTTATAATTTGTTTTGATTTCTTTCTACCCATGGATTATCAGTGAGCTCTTAAATTCTCAAGTGTTATAACATTTTTATTTCTGATTTTGTTTGATTCTGATAAAAGAACATTGCCTGCAATATTTTGAATAATTTATGATGTATATGTGGATAAGTACATGATAAAATTTTGTACATATTCTATGAATAAGAATAATTCACATTCTCTATTTAGCAAAGAAAGTGTTTACATTTTTCTAAAGATTTTTTAATTTGCATTTTTCTGTACATTTTTATTTTTGGCATACTTGGGCTATTTGATACTTAAAAAGGTATATGAAAAGCTTCTGTTTATGTATTTTCAATGAAGTTATCTCTGTATTTCCAATAGTTTTTGTGTTGCATATTTAACTTCTCTGTTGTTATGTGCATGTAAGCCATGTACTTAGTGAAAAATAATAGTGAAACCTGATTCTGAGATTTACAAGTCAAATTCTTTGTAGTTCCATTTCTTTTGACTGAAATGCAGACATGGTTTTTAGATGAGACTCAAATATGAAAAACAGTTCTAAAAAATTACCTAATGTGTTGAATGCTTTGAATGGGCCAGTCCCAATTCCAAGTGCTTTACATGTATTAGCATGTTATAACTTTCTCCAAATCCCATGAGGTAAGGATTGTTTTTATCTTAGATAACAGTTGAGGAAACTGAGGCACGGAGATGTTCGTTTGCTTTAGATCACATAACTTTCACAGCAGAGCTGTGATTTGAACCAGTCTAGTTTTGAGCCAGAGGCTATAGCCTTAATCTAAGTATACCTGCTTCTAAAATGGAAAATTTCCATCCAGGATATTTACATATAGAACCTTTATAGGTTTATCTAACTTCTTAAATATTCCTTGTGTTCCACAAGAACCAATTCATAAAAGGCATGGATACTGTTATATTGTGGTGTGCTCCAGGTAAAATTTTAAGTTCACGTTGCATTTAGATATTGCCCAATCTACAAAAAAAGTTTAATGAAAGTATTTTGTCTGTGAAACATTGTAATGCAAATATTTGAATTTTTTTCTATTTTGTATGGATATGCTGTGTCTGTATCTCTAATTTTTCATTTTGTGTTAACTACATGACTGCCACAGAAATGAAGTACATAGTCACATTACAAAGATTAAAAGCTACTTAAAATATAATCACCAAAATTATTTTATTACTTTAAATTGAGTAGCAGATAATGAAATAGGTAAATTGAATAATTTCCCCAGTCCTACTATGCCATACATTTCTATCATCTTTTATTCTTTCTGTTTTTCCAAATCAGAAGCTAATATAAGTGTATATTTGTTTAACCTTGAAATAGGTATCTTACAACTATAAGATTAAAAAAATACTGAAAGCAATATCAGATAGAATTGACTACATGGGGAAAAAATACTACCATAAACTAAAGTGAAAAGACATATGGCTTTCTGGACAACCATGAAACAGATAAAGGCAGCATAAGCTTAAAAGTTCTTAAAATTAATAAGGTATAGGTGAAAAATCTCAATTAAAAAATGGCCATAGACATGAAAACAAAGTTCACAAAATAGAAAGTAAATGTATGCATAAAAATCATCATTTACCCTGGTAATTATATGACAACAGATACTAAGTTATAAACATTTATGTTGAAATAACTTCAAACTTACGGAAAATTTCAAGAATAATAAAAGGTCACTCAGATATCCTCAGGTGTTAACAGTATGTCATATTTGCCTTCTCAGCATCTGTCTCTTTGTCTCTCTCTTCAGTTATGTTTTCCTGAACCTTTTGAGAGTGATAGATATCCAAATTTTACTTTTTGAAATTGAAATTTTGCTAGCTGTAGTCCCATAAGATTGTCTTTTCCTAAATATTTTTTTGCCTGAAGTAAAAAAAAAAAGTAGTAATTTAAAACCGAACACAATGTATAAAAGCTCATGTTATACCCATATATCTCAAGACAGTTTCATCTTAGTATATTTGGGAAATATCGATAATCTTAGAAATAATATATATGGCTTTTTAGAGTGTCATACAGTATCCAGCTCAAATATGAGTTATGGCTTGGTTAGATAAAATATGTTTCTAGAAGTAGTTTCAAAAAACAATGAAATCTGTACATTTACTCTTTCTAATACACACATACACACACGTACGTATATGTATAATATATAATATATATCTAATATATATGTGTATAAATATATATATTTATATATCTCAGATAAATAAGTAAGTTGAATTGAAACGGATTGATTTTTTTTTTAAAGATTTTTATTGGGGAATTGGGGGAAGGGGAACAGACAAGTTGCTATCCTTTGTTTTTTTTGTTCTTCAGTCTAGTTGTGGAGGACGTTGCTTCACTAGTCCAAGTTGGCACCATCATTGC